TCATACGCCCGCCTTGCAATCTAACGATCAGCTGTTGCTTCCTTTTGTCCACTCAGCTCCTTTTGCTTGGAACAGGTTGAAGAAAGGCTGGAAACTGACGCGCTCTCCTTGAACGCTTCGATTGAAAAGCGTTTAAGGACCAGCATCAGTGACTGCTTCAATAATGTGCACTTGTATTTCCTAATCTGTGATCCATGTCGTGTCGTTGTTGTTTGTACGTGCGTGTGTCTAACTACTGTCTCTTTTAATCCCAGTCTTAATCTTTTGAATTTTTTTCTGGTTAAATAAAAGTTAAATCAAATAAAAATTACTCAAACATGCATGAACGATTCAGAAAACCTCCTCTGACATGTTTTTGACGACGGAACATTCTAACATGGTAGAAAGAAACATTGATTTAACCTAATACGCTCTCTTTAACCACAACTATTCAAGTAGACAAAATTGAATATTGTTGCCATGGTGTTACCCCCAAGTACAGACTGTCTTTGATATTTGTACAAATTTGAGCTGTTGGATCAATTTATTCTCTTTCATAATCTATCCTAAAGCCTGCATTTCTTCTTGTAAATGGACCAGAAAGTCTTAAAATAGACCTTTTATTTACACATAAGTTTTTCTGTAATTACTTGAGAGATAAAAATCAGTTAACACATTTGGATCAGTTTAAAATTGGTATTGGAACTGGAAAAGCTGTATGCATTTCGAAGCAGTTTTTCTAAATGTAAGCCACAGTAATTCATCTGATTGATTGAACCACAGAGCAGCCTTCATGCCCCAATTCCCAAGTAGATCACCTGTTGGCGTTTCACCTCCACTGCAGTTCTGGATATGCTCTGACCCAGTTCTCTGGCCATCACAATATTGTAAGGTTGTCAAAACAAAATCACAAACTCGTATCAAGGCTAGATACTCATTTGAACAAGTATCGATACTGTAAAAAGCATTTTCTTTTGTATCAACACTACAATATCTGTATAGGTTCTGATTTATGTGAAAATTAAAGATGCATTGTGTAACTTTTCTGGTGGAGGGTCCATCACCTGCTTATTTCTATGGAGTTGTCATTGCTCTGCCTGATGTATTCCACAGTATGACAGCTTTGCCTTACATTTATTCAATTGCAAGTGGTTTTATAGCTCAAAAATATCTTGAAAAACATGTATTCTGTCTGTGAGCGGCATTGCCTCCACAGATCTGCCCTGTAACTTTGCCTGATTTGATCTTCTTCTTCATTTGATGGACCAAAAAGCTACACAATGCACCTTTAAAGTCAAAACTGTTAAAATGTAAGTACCTTTTGATGGACGCAACAAGTGAAAGACCAAATGGCATAATAACGAAAATACTTTTAATCATAGGATGAAGTGATTTCAATTAAGATCTATGGGAGGCCATTAGGAAAGAAGGATACAAGCAGTGGTCCTCAGATTGAATTTAATGGGCTTGTTTTGGTGAAATGGTCCAGTACAGCTTGTCCTGAGGCGACCGTGTGAGTCATAACACAAGACAGACTTATGGCTGGACTGAAATAGCAGCAATATGTTGTGTCCATGTGATGTCTCATTATCACGACCTATAGTTTCAAATGGAGATGCTAAGTTAAAGAACCTACATTATGCTGTTTCCTGATCTATGTTATGACGTTGTTTCATTCATACATGTTTAACACAAAATCCTGCATATTTTAAGTCAGGGGTCTCCAACCTGTAGCTCAGGAGCGACCAGTAGCTATCTGTGCTCCTCCAAGTAGCTCACCAAGGGATTTCTGTGTTATACTTATTGTGCTGAAAAACTCAAATTTGATTCATTAAATGCTTATTACCACTGTAAATGTACATTTTGATGCCTAACATTGTGCATTAATAATTGGACAGTGGTTTATGTTTTATAAGCCTCTAACTGTACTCCATCTACGACTCAGTTTCTTGCGACTTCTTAAATGAGTTGCTCTCTGGCGTTTTCGTTTTATAACAGTTGCTCACCAGAGGGAAAAGGTTGGAGACTTAAAGCATCTTGTGATGAAGCGTCTTGTCTTGTAATAGTAGTTAACAGCACCTTTTACCTTTATTTCAATAGAGGCTGAAATGATGAAAATGATTCAAGCTAAGGTGTATGGAATTTAAAAACACAGTGGAGCAGTTCCTGTATTACCACATAAGTCTAACATTTAAGAAGCCATTAAAAAAAAAAAGAAAAGAGTATAAAGCGTTATGTTGTGAAAGCTACAGAGCTCTGGAATGAATGAATTGTGTTTGTTTTAATTTACAATTTTTCTCTTATATTTACAGTAAGTTGCAAGTGGAATTGTGAATGTACACTTGCTGTTCATATGCAGCTTTTCTTTTTTTGGAATTCTGTCATTGTTTAATAGGGACATTATAAGTACTAATTAATAAGTAGTACTATAAGGGCATTATAAGTACTTTTTACTTCAGCCTAAACCTTTTCGGTCATGATCTATGTGGTTGTAGTCTATGTTTTGTTTTGTTTTGTTTTGTAGTGCTGCAAAATGTTTTCTGTTTGCGAGGAGAACTCAGCCTAAATATGCAGGATTTGTGTCTTAAACAACTCCAGGTCTGTATGTGATGAGGAAACAACATTATAGCATAAATCCAAAAATAGCGTAATGTGGGCATTTTAAATAGTTGAGTTGAATTTAGTTGTTTTAAACCACAATCTGCATATTCGCTGATTTCTGACCCATCAGAGCAGAAGATAATGTGCTGTTATGTGAGTTTGTCAGTTTAGAAAGGAGCAGAGTAACTACTAACTATTACATGGCTAGAATTTTATTCAATTACAAATGGAAGTTTAAAAAGAGAAAAAAAAAAAGAAAGAAAAAAAAATCTATAAAAAAAATCTACAGAATTACAGTAACGTGAGTGTTTGCATTAGTTACTTTCTACTCCATAAATCAGATTATGATCAGATCAGATAACGTAGCAGTGTGTTTGTGTGTGTTTCTTTGTAGTAGTCATTGATTGCTCACCTCTGCAGGGGAAGTGTTGGAGTCTAACCAGAGCCTCTTAATGATCAGGAGCAGCGGGGTCCTGTTCATTCATTGACTCAGATTCAAGCTCTGTAACTTTATTGGATTTTACGAACAAAAGGCAACAGGAGGCAGGAATAAAGAGTGCAGACAAGGAACAGTGCTGGTTTTAATAGAACTTTGTTATATCCACTGTGTTAAATAATTGTCCTTTCGTCACTACTATGAGAAAGAGTTTAAAACCAAAGGACTATACCAAAAATGGTGTTGGGGTACATGTGTTTGTTGGTTTTGTATGTTTTTACAGCTCATCCAAGCTGCTTCTTCAGTTCTGGTCAGACGCTGGTGGACGGTGATGGGTACTTTCACACCTCTGAGCATACAGGCTATCACTGTTGTTTTCTTTGTTTTGATATAGGTGTGAGGATGGAGTTGTAAATAGGAGAGAGATGATGTCTGAGCACTCAATTTCTCTTCAAAGATGGCTTGTCTTTCTTAACAAAAAATACATTTTGCTACACTGAATGGAGTAGTGTAGCGAGGACTACAGTGAGCCTTATATTGGGGAAACAAAACTGCCACTTTATAAGAGGGTGTATCAACACAGACAAGAGAGCAGTAGTAGACCCCAGTCTGCTGTTCATCTCCATATCAAAGCCACTGGCCAGTCCTTTGAGGATAGTGAGGTACAGATCTCAGCAATCTGACGAGAACAGAAGAAGCATCTTGGTTGAGCATCTTGAATTTCTCCTTTGCCATGGATCCTACCTGTATGACTGAGGGATTACACAAACGGTCTAGATTAATATTAAGATTAGTGTTTGCATCTGGAAACTGTGGCAAGGAGGTAAATATCATTTAATGTACCATTGTCCATTACAGGTAATGTAATATAAATTATACTAGATTAGATGCTGGGAGGGAAAAATATGTCTTGTAAACGAAGAGTTCAGTAGCAAAAACAGATATCTCCAAGTTTGTTTGTTTTTTTTGTTTTTTTTATTAATTATTATTACCATCATCTAGAGATATTATGAATGACAACAATAAACAATAGTAGATTTTATCAAGAGGGGGTGGAGTAATATTTTGATAGCAGTGAAATAAATTTGGGTTTTGAAAATATTACTATACTTAGAGTAACTATAAGCCTCTAATGACTTTTTCAAGTGGCACTTATCTTCTTACTTCACATTCATCACAGCTTTACATGATGTTAATATCTTAATAGTTTGAAAGGCCCTAACCTTAACTATATCTCTATATTAAATATGAAAAATCAAAAAGAGTAGATCTTGAATAAGAATAAAATAACCTTTAAATGAGAGTATAATGTGATATTTCTGCATTTTACTGTCCATTCAAGTTTTACTACAAACTTGACGCTGTAGATATTTCCACATTTTTGTACATTACTACTATAATGCCATCTGATCATTGACATTGACATAAGTTGCCTATCCATGGATTTCAGAATGATGAGCAATTAGGCCTGTTTCCATCACAATTAACAATTTAAAACAAAAGCTAAAAAGTCCTCAATATGTAAACTGAGACCCATGACTAGGGGTGTGCAAATATATGAAAATATTGAAAATATATCGATATATCCTAATACTAAATTTGGTGATACAGTATTGTTATTTTGGGCTGCTGTATCATTATATTGCCAAGAGTATTTTTTGGTATCTTTTAGCAATTTTTGGTCGAACTGCACTACAATTTTGCTGCTTATTTAGTAGAAAACTATACACTTGACATATTCACAGTTCTTCACATAAATGGTAATAATAATGCTACTTATTTAGAATTAATATTACCATTGATATTTTTTCTCTTTGTTATTATAATATATTGTGACGTGTGAGCTATGGTGTCCAAAGAATTCAATCAATAAGGTCTAAGTCTATATCATGATAATATTGAATTGTGAATCAGGTATCATGTGTTGAATCGTGAGGCCCTATCTTTGCCCATTTCTTATCCTCTTTCTCCTTCTTTTCTTTAGCCTGAAGGCAGTGCTGTCCGCCCCTCCCTCCAGTGGCACGTTGGACCTGTCTGGGATCCCCCTTTGTGCCAGGGACATGGAGCGCTTGTGTGCCCACCTTCAGCGCCACGCCCCCTCTGTGGTGAGTCTGGAGCTGGGCTTCACCGAGCTCACGGACGAGGCCTTTCTGCTGCTCCTGCCCACCCTGGCCGCTCTGCCCCGACTGGAGACTCTGGCTCTGAACGGAAACAGACTCACACGGGCCGTTCTCAAGGAGCTCACAGACGCACTCAAGGTAGAACTGGGATTGTACATGATATACTGTTAGGTGTTAAGTGATTTTTTGAATATGTTAGAATTAGACCATCACATTATTTTGAGAGAGGAGTATATTACAGTTCTTCTTTCTGAGCCTTTTTGATTGTTGATGAAATGAATGAATTAATTAATTATAAATATGTCATTTATATACAACTGAAACAAAACAGTTGATGAAGAACATTTTCAGTATGCTGCCATACACTTAAAAAAATCTAAGCAAATACAGTAAACCTGTAATTGTTCTTCAAGGTATTCAAAGTGCTTTACATCAAGGAACCGGTCTTGGTCGCGAGTCCAGCTTCAAAACTGCTTTTTTACGGTCTTGGTCTTGTCTTGGACTCAAGCACATTTGGACTCAGTCTTGTCTCAGTCTTGATGGAGCTTAGTCTCGGTCTTGTCTTGGATTCGAGGTCTGACACTCGACAAGTGCCATCGTATTTCATTACAGCCGGTAAATGTGAAGAGGCTGCTAAATATCACTGCCAAACCAGTAAGATAATGTAACTGTAAATGTTATGAACCTGAAAAATCCCACTTGATTCACTTTGAAGTTGTTTTTTGTAAATTACCAGTGGAAGCGGGATTAAAGAAGGGATTCTCAAACTGTGGGTGAAAGTGTTTAAGTGCAGCACAGTTTGCTTCGCTTATTTTAAGCCTAAATGAACATTAACCAGATCAAATGGAGATACATTTATAAAAACATTGATATGTATGTGTCAGAATAACTGTAAAATACAAATAAATGTAGAAAATGACAAAGATGTTCTTGATTTGGTCTCGATGGGCCGTGGTCTTGGTTTTGTTTCGGTCTCGACCTTTAAAAAGTTTGGTCTTGTCTCGGTCTAAACTCTCAGAGGTACTGGTCTTGTCCTTGTCTTGGGATCCCATGTCTCGGACTGGTCTTGGTTTCGATTAGTGCGGGCTTGACTACAAAACTACACAGACATTGGGGGCAACGGGAAAAGGCAGTATAAAATATTTGATTACATTATAGATGCAAACTATGTAGTAGAGGTCCAATTCTGTCGTATTTGTGTGATTTTTCAGCATTGATACATCAGTGTCAAAATCTAGTTGGATTTTGGCTTTAATATCTGTTAGTATTTTGATAGCTTTTTTTCTTCCTTAATAACTACTCATCTCTCTCTGCCCACTCCAGGACCCCAGCAGCTTCCCAAGTGTGACATGGATTGATTTGGGCAACAACGTGGACATATTCTCTCTGCCCCAGCCTTTCCTGGTGAGCCTCCGGAAGCGCTGTCCCAAACAGGGCAACCTCCCGACCATCCTGGAGTTTGGGGAGAGCCAGGCCAGCGACCCCCCGGAGAGACTGCGCGGTTTGGGGGAGGAGGAGGAGACTGACGACACTAACCGCACCGAAAGCATGGGCGAATTACGGTCGGAAGTTGATGCCGAAATGGACGGAGAGACTGAAATTGAAGAAATGATGGAGGAGCTGTTGGATTTTGATAGAGAAACGCAAGGTAGGGATGAAGAGGATGATAGCATGTGGACATTAGAGGAGCAGAGAAAAGTGATACGCCCAAGAAGGAGACAAATCCAAGACAGTCCCAGGAAAGAGGCGAAAAAAGCGGAAATGGATGACGAGGAGGACACGCACAGCCGCTCCTCTCACATGTCCTGCTCCAGCCAATCACAGCACTCGTTGGGAGCCGGTGAGCCGATAAGAGTGGAGATGGAGGACTTGGAAGAAACCACAGACCGATCAGAGCATTTGACCTGAGAGTTTGTAAGTGTTCAATTTGGCTCCGATTCATTTCCTGTAAAAATGGAAAATGTCCTTAAAAGGCTGGACAGGTGAGATCCAAACTAAATAAGCCAATGGATAGTCCCTCACTGTTCTCACAGCGGGTGATGAAGGAGAACAGAGGACATCGGCCAATCACAACTGTTGTTCTAGGGAAATAAAGGGAATACTGGATTTTATAAGAATTACACATAAAAGGATTAAAGGGACTATATGTAGCTTGAACAGCCAATTCAGAAATTGATGGTAGCGTAACAAAACAAGGTATTTCAGCGAATCAACTTTTAAAATATACACATTTCAAGCATAAAATGTTTAAGTCGGGTTGTCAAAAGTATCAAAAAATCAGATACTCATTGATATTAAAACTAGTATCGAAACTAGATACTCAGAAGACAGAAATGAACCTTTCCTGAATAACTTTAGAATGATCTTGAGTTGCATCAGACAGAGTATAAGAACACATAGACTGGTATATTTTGTTAGTTCTTAATCAGGTCACAGAATTTAATGTAGGACAGTTGCTTAAATTAAGAATAGATTGACAGGTGGTGCTCTGTTATGCCTGAATTGTGTACAAAAATACACAAGTGACCATATGTAGTGAAATACAGACCACCTGATCTTCGGTGAGTTAGTGGCTTCGTGAGAAAAGCCAGATTGTTTCAGAATGGGGCGAAGTAGCAAATACTGTCCTGAAGAAAGCGTACTGTTGCTTCAAAATAAGATTACTCAAGTAGTCCAAGTAGTAGGTCCAAGAAATTTCCTAATAAGTATTTAGGGATGCTACTACTCAAGTAAGAGTAATTGTAGTAACGTCTTTTGTCACTATAAGAGGAACCAAAACTTTCACTCAGGAAGAAAAGGAGTACTGTAAATTAAATTAACTCCTACTTGAGGAGTAAATCTTTGTAAAATTTGTTTGTAAATGTCACCACTACTACTACTACTACTACTACTACTACTACTACTATTACTACTACTAGTCAGAAAGGTACAGTTTTATCAAAAGTTACTGCTAAAATGTAACTGTTAAAACATGGCCTTGCTACCTATGGTCCCTCTTAACCTTCCATTTAAAGGTGCACTGTGTAACTTTTCTGGTGGAGGATGCTAATGCTATTGCTTTGCCTGGGATGTTTCACAGTATGGCATTAAACAATATATGTTGTATTTACCGTATTTTTCGGACTATAAGTAGCTCTGGAGTATAAGTCGCACCAGCCAAAAAATGCGTAATGAAGAAGAAAAAAAACATATATAAGTCGCACATTTTGGGGGAAATGTATTTTATAAAATCAGAGACCAGGAACTGACATTTCATGTTGAAAGTCAAGTTCTAGTAATAACAATAGAACAGAGAACAACAGACTGTTAACGTCACATATGAACAGTTCTTCAGATACACTATTACATAAACAACAGAACAGAACAAGTTTACCAAACTCCAAATCACTAAATCCATTGAATTCTTCATCCTCGGTGTCACTTCTGAGCAACTCTGTGACCTCCGGAGGTAAACAGAGCGCTGCTTCCTCTTCTGTGTAGCTGTCGTCAGACTCAGCTTCAGTTCCAGTTAGAATTATTCCAGCCTTTCTGAATCTCTACAGGATGATTTCAGTTGTCACTGAAGTCCAGGCTTTGTTGATCCATACAATGACTTCCAGGAAAGTTGCATGGCGCACCCTCTCAGTTGCCGTGAAGCTGTGTTCTCCATCCCCGCTTTCCGCCAGTCCCTCACAAGTCCCTCGCCAGTCCCTCACTGCTGCTCGATTACTGTTTTCGGCTGAATATTTCACTCCTTGCAGCAGGACAGCAGCTTTTTGTGCAGGAGACATGCACAGAAAAGTGACACACAAGCTTAGAGCACCGTCTCGTGGCTGTCAGTGTGAAAATTTGAATATATAAGTCACACCGGAGCAGGACCTCCCAAACCATGAAAAAAAGTGCGACTTATAGTCCGAAAAATACGGTACTCAATTATGGGTGTTATTTCTCAAAACTACCGCCACAAACATGCATTATTATTTTGAGCGGGCCCACTCCTCCACAGATGTGACTTGGCCTGGTGATGTGGCCCACTTGTCTTCATGGAGATACAGTAGCTAATTAAATGCCATGACATCTACCATACAGCAGGATTCAGACTCTCTACTAGAAAAGTTACACTGTGCAGCTTTAATCCAGGTCTTCGCCCCCGTGCCGACTACATGTGCCTGTAATATGCTCTGGTACTGGTAAAGTGGAAGCAGTGCCCTCATGTTTAACTGCATGGCCAAAAACAAACCCTCCCACGTGCGTACAAATGACAGCCAGATGGACAGAACCAAGCCAAAGGATCTACAGTATGTAAATGAGTGCATACTTAAGAAATAAACAGATGTACATTAGCAGAGGAGGAAAATTAGTCATAAAAACTGCTATTGCTTTTGTATAGGGAGGGAGAAACGTGGTATTTTGTGTACAGACGATCGATGACCATTGCCACAGACCCCAAAGCAAAGTACCGCCTATAGCATTAAATATTTAGTACGTGTTTTTCGCTTTGTAATCCAGGTCATGCCAGCCCCGCCGTGCTGCATGCTACTAGGTCACCACGCTGTGTTATTTTTAAAGAGTAACTCGCGCGTGGAAAATCATAGAAAAGTGAGCCGAGAAAGAGAGCGAAGAGGAAAGAGGAGATGAGGGAGAGTAGGGAGTGGGTTGATTGACAGCTGTCTGTGCCCTGTCTTTGTCATGACAACAAGACTGGACTGGAGCGAGAGGGTCCGTACAGGGAAGGAAAGCACTACTAGCAGTGATTATATATTTGTTAATACTGTAGTCTGTATAAAGCCCACAACATTCAGCTCCAGTCAAATGAAGCTCATTGAGACTTGCAGTTATAGGAGCAAAATTGAAGCCAGGTTTCATATTAGGAACAGGAATTTATTTACGGACAAATTGAGAAATGGAGACACCAGGATCATGTAGAACATTTTAAGACAAAAATGATGAAGCTCACAAGTAGGGTGACCAGATTTTCAAAATAAAATTACAGGACATCCCTTGTTTATATGATAAAATTGTGAAACGAGTGCATAATTAATGAAAATTGTTCTGCACTCGGCACTAATGCGAGTCAGTATAGTAACATTTTCTTTGTGTTTTGGTCGTTTTTAAGCAGCTTTTCTGTATTTTACCTGAACAAATAACGAATTATGCCTCTCTTTATTGTTGTCAGGGATCAGATTGGTTAAAAATAGGGACGCCTGGGACATTTCTTGTATAAAACTGTGACAAATCACTGGTTTTGTATAAATCTGCTGGGACAGGGGACACAAGGCTCAAAACTGGGACTGCCTCGGGTAAATAGGGACATCTGGTCACACTAGAGGGGTGATAGTTTTTCAGTGACAAGTCAATTGGAGCAAGAGTCGACGGATAGGAAGTGCCCCCCATGTTCACTTCCTGTTTGGAACATAGCAGCGGGTTAGCTATGTCCATTTATGTACGGTCTATGGTTAATACCCATATTATATTGTGAACTAGTTTTGTTATATTCTAGTCCTGGTTTAGTCCCGGTGACTGGGGAGCAAGCAGTACATCTGTGTTGATTGTAAAGTACTTTAATTTTAACTATCACAAAGTAAAATCTACAATCATTTATAGTTATAGTTGAGCAGTCTCCCTCTAATAGGCTCTGTATCACTTTATTAAAATCATAAAATATGTAATAAACAACCTCTTAACATTCAAATGAATTAAAGTCAAGACTACCCAGTTGTTTTTATATGTAGAATACAGTTTGTGACAGTTTGTGGTGTTGTTTTAATGTTTATTATGCCTGAAAATTAGCATTAGCATTAGCACTGAGGCACAAACATATCTCTTTCTAAACACAAAAGTGGTATTAAGTGGAGTATTCATTTTATTTGTGTATTTTTTAACATGCCAGTCACACCCACAAGTCACTCTGCAATGTCTTATCTTTAAATCTTCATTCATTTTAGATACACAATAGGCTCTGTGAACAATAGCGCCGTCAAAAACACTGTTAGCGTCACCACTTCCTGTCCGATTGTTTATGACTTTTTCACTGAGTCATGCTAAAATGAATAAATATTTACAGATAAGATGGTGAATAAGGAGCTGCAGGTGGATGTGACTAACATAAGTACTCTGATAAAAGGAATTCTTCACCGGAGAACATTTCTGCTTTTAAAAAGGTAGAGATTTGTGTGTCAATGCTAATGCTAATGCTAATTTTGACACACAGTAGATATTAAAACAATGCCACAAACTGAAGTCTACATTTAAAAATAATCTGAGTTTCTTTACTTTACTTTATTTGATTTTTAATAGTTTTTGCTCTGTAGCAATTCTTAATGGCCACTATTTTTATACCACTTATATTTAAAATGGTAATGTTTTGTTTAAAAATGCAAAATAGAGGATAATAACAAGCGCTAGTCTAACATGTAGAACTATTTTACTATACAGAATTATCCCAGGATCATTTGGATGCTAGTGTTTTGCTCAGCTGTATGCAAATGTATTACCAACCTGATTTATTACAGCTAGTCTAAACTGAAAAAGCAAAGTGGCCGCATTGTTTTATTTATTTAAAACAAGGACAGTGCACAGAAAACATTAATCTCAGAGATAAAACATGCTCTGTACCAGAATTAGCTACACGCTCCTTTACATCTGTAGTCCTTGGGCAGGTACAAAATATATTAAGGAAATTATTTACATTAAACCAACTCTAACAACAACATTTCATCATTTACAATGTCTTCTTAAAATAACCACAATCCAATTCATCATTAAACATTTAAAACAATCAAAATTCATTCATTCTAATTTCCAGAAATACAAGATTTCAAATTTATCATTATCTAAATTTCAATGTCATCAATAAGGGATGTAACAATATCTAAATCTCTCGATATGATACTATCACGATATGCATCTAGCGGTACGATATTTATTGC